GGCGCCCCGCTGCGCCGCCTCTTCCTGGTGGGCACCGCCGCCGAGCCCAGGGAGGCCCGCAAGGTCAACCAGCTGCTGGCCATGGAGGCCCGGGTCCACGGCGACATCCTGCAGTGGGACTTCCACGACTCCTTCTTCAATCTCACGCTCAAGCAGGTAGGCTGGCGGGGTGTCCCCTGGCCCTCCTGCCCAGATCACCACCATCTCCTCCCAGGGCTCCGAGGGGACCCGCAGGCCCGTCCCCATCCCCCTATCCTACCCCCCTCTCCTGTCTACCTGGCCCCTGAGGTCCATTTCCTTTCCCGGAGGCAGGGGGAAGCCGGGCTGGCCAGGGGTTACTAGCCTGGCCATTGGGGCCTGAGAACCCAGGCTTCAGTCCAGGCTCTGTGTGGTCCTTAATGATGGTTCGCCTCTCTGTGCCTCCGTGTCCTCATCCGGGAAGTTGGGGTATTAATTGGACTCACCCGCCCGTGAGGGCTGCTGTCAGGATTACCTGAGATGAGATTAGGCACCTGGGCCAGAGCCGGGCTGGTGTGGGGGGAGGCGGGTACTGGACAGAAAGCGTCTTGTTTATTCGATCTGGTTCTGTCTCCCCATGAGGTCTAGTCTCTGCGGTGAGTACTCAATAAAGATTTCTTTTAAATATTACTTTATTTTTATTTTTTACAGAGAGGAAGGGAGATAGAGAGTTAGAAACATCGATGAGAGAGGAACATCGATCAGTTGCCTCTTGCACACCCCCTACTGGGGATATGCCCGTAACCAAGGTACATGCCCTTGACCGGAATTGAACTCAGGACCTTTCAGTCCGCAGGCTGATGCTCTATCCACTGAGCCAAACCGGTCAGGGCAATAAAGACTTTTTTTTTTTTTTTTTTTTTTTTTTTTTTTTTAATCCTCATCCGAGAACATGCTTGGAGAGAAGGGAGGGAGGGAGGGAGAGAGAAAATTGATTGGTTGCCTTTCGTATACTCCCCAACCGGGGATACACTCACAACCCAAGTATGTGCTCTGACCAGGAACTGATCTGGCAACCTTTTTTTAAAAAAAATATATTTTATTGATTTTGTACAGAGAGGAAGGGAGGGAGAGAGAGAGTTAGAAACATCGATGAGAGTCATCGATCAGTTGCCTCTTGCACACCCCCTACTGGGGATATGCCCGTAACCAAGGTACATGCCCTTGACCGGAATCGAACCCGGGTCCCTTCAGTCCCCAAGCCGACGCTCTATCCATTGAGCTAAACCGGTCCAGGCGAACTGGCAACCTTTGGGTGCATGGGGCAGTGCCCAACCAACTGTGCCACTCTGGCCGGGCAATAAGGACATTTCTGATGGACAAGAACCCGTGGCAGGTGGAGAATCCGAGTGCCGAGGAGGAGTTGGAGGCTCTCAGGATCGAGCCAGGGTGGGTGGGGGCAGCACGCTGAGCAGAGATCCAGCTGTGGTCCCTGCTCCCTGGGGTCCCTGCTCCTGTCGGTACAGACAGGTCTGGGCCAAGGTCGCAAGGAGCTACTTCTGTGTTCTGTGACCTTGCTCCAGGCGCTGTCTCTGGACAGCTTCCGTTTCCTCATTTGTGAATGGGATTGAAGATTTACCTCTTGTGGCTGCATTAGGCATTCAAAGCAGGGCAGGCCCTGAGGACATCACTTGGCAGGCTGCAAAGGTCATGATGGAGGAAACGGAAGCCAAAGCAAACAGAGGGCCAGAACCCCTCAACACGCCGAGTTCTTAACACAGAACACCCAAGGGCATGGTAAACATGAGTGTAAACATGAGCTTAGACATGAGTCTGGCCCCTGTGGGGCACGAAGCCCACAATGGGTGTTATATAACAGCGGCACTCAACCAGGCAGAGTGGGAAGGAATAACAATAAACATAAATGTGACCATTTCTTGGCGCTATTAGCAGACATCGTCTCCCTGAATCCCCAGCCATCCTGCAGGCAGGTCCTGAGATGAGGCCTTAGTGGAAAGTTGGAAACTGAGGCACAGCCGAAACCGGTTTGGCTCAGTGGTAGAGCATCGGCCTGCGGACTGAAAGGCCCCAGGTTCGATTCCGGTCAAGGGCATGTACATTGGTTATGGGCACATCCCCAGTAGGGGGTGTGCAAGAGGCAGCTGGTCGATATTTCTCTCTCATCGACGTTTCTAGCTCTCTATCGCTCTCTCCTCCTCTCTGTAAAAAATCAATAAAATATATATTTTAAAAAATTAATATCTTTTTAAAAAGAAAAGGAAACTGAGGCACAGGAAAGAGCAGTTGGTTGCTGAGGTCACCCCACAGGATGGAGGGCGGGGGAGACCTTGAACCCAGGCTGGGTTGCCTGGGGACACATCCGGGACCTGAGGCTGGCAGTCCCAGCCCGGAGGCCCACGCACCCGCCCCCCCCCCCCCCCAGGTGCTCTTCCTCCAGTGGCAGGAGGCCCGGTGCACCAACGCCAGCTTCCTCCTCAACGGGGACGACGACGTCTTCGCCCACACGGACAACATGGTCTCCTACCTGCGGGGCCACGACCCCGACCGCCACCTCTTCGTGGGGCAACTGATCCGGAACGTGGGGCCCATCCGGGTCTCCTGGAGCAAGTACTACGTGCCCACGGTGGTGACGCAGGAGGAGCGCTACCCGCCCTACTGCGGCGGGGGCGGCTTCCTGCTGTCCCGCTTCACGGCCGCCGCCCTGCGCCGCGCCGCCCGCGCCCTGGACCTCTTCCCCATCGACGACGTCTTCCTGGGCATGTGCCTGCAGCGCGCCGGCCTCCAGCCCGCCTCCCACAGCGGCATCCGCACGGCCGGCATCTGGGCGCCCTCCAAGCGCCTGTCCTCCTTCGACCCCTGCTTCTACCGGGAGCTGCTGCTGGTGCACCGCTTCCTGCCCTACGAGATGCGGCTCATGTGGGACGCGCTGAGCCAGCCCAACCTCACCTGCGGCCGGCGCATGCGGGTCTACTGAGATGTCAGGGCCCAGCCCCGGGCTCCCACCCCCACCCCCCAGGAGGGGGTCCATAGGGAAGTGCCAGCGAGGGTTTGACCAGTGAATAGTTTTGTTTGTTTGCTTTTTTTTTTTTTTTAATTATATATCTATACATTTTTATTTATTTTGGGGAGAAACAGAGAAAAGGAGAGGGAGAGAGAGAGAGAGAGAGAAACATTGATTAGCTGGCTCCTGCATGCCCCCACTGGGGATGGAGCCCAAAACCCAGCGTGTGCCCTGACCAGGAATCAAACTGAACATGGGACAGTGCTCAACTCACTGAGCCACCCTGGCCAGGGCTGATGGGTGAAGAGGTTTGTGGCAAATTCCTACACGTCCTTCAAAACTCGCCCAGGACTGCTTAGACCAGCTTCATCGTCCTTCCTAGACTCTCGCTGGAGGGACCGTCTCTTTCCATGGCAGCTACTGGCAGAGGCACGTCGGCCAGGGTCCCAGCTGCTGCTGCTGCTGCTGCTTCCAGCCCGTTTGAATCAAAATCCCACATCCCAGCCCCAACCTCGGTCATGGGCAGGCCCCCAAAGAGTGCCAGCCTCTCGTTGGTAGTGAGTCCGCAGTGGTTAATCGTGGGTGCGTTGGGCCATGGTTCACTGCCAATTGGGAATTGATTTCCAAGGTCACGTGCAGCTGGAGGGAGAAGCATTTTCCAGCTAGAGGAAGGGCCTTGGACCCTCAGATGGTGGGAGGGGTCAGAGCGGCCACGAATGGGACCGCTCCTCCCTGCCTGTGGAATTAAGTGCTCTGGTGGCGGAAATACTGGCCAGAGGAGGAAGGCTGCAGAGGAGGAAGGCTGCGGTCTGTCTCAGGCTATGAAAATTCGGTCTGGAGTACCTGGCCGGCCCCAGGCCCCACACCTGGGACCCCCAAGAACTCCGGAAACAGTACTGGGCCCAGAGGGGTCTTTCCTGGGCCCAAGGCCACACAGACACTCACCCCAGTGCCCTGAGAAGAAGGAGGTTCAGATCCTGGAGTGACCCTGAGCTCTTGGGACACAGGACTGGCCCCCAACCCAGAGTGTCTTTCTGATTAGGGAGGTCTAAGCGAACGGGTGAACCCCAATCCTGCTGGCCTTGGCAAATGTCTGGGTCTTGGGCCTCACAGGTGGCGGTTGGTGGTGGGCACCTCAGGCAGCAGAGCACAGATTGGGGAGTGGGTCCTCAGGGAATAAAATGTTTGGTGAAGACCTGGGGTCTTTTGTTGTTGTTGTTGTTGTTGTTGTTGTTTATAAGTTTTAGCTCAGGTCAATCTACATTTATTTATAAAAACCTCATTTCCAGTAGGAAATATACACCTGCAGGAATCTCAATCATGCTGATTTGACCTTACCTCATCCCTGTTCACACACCCACCATGGCTCCCGGAGCCCTAAGCTTATACACCCCACGTCTGACTCTCAGGGCCGGCTTGGTGGCAGTCTCACTACGGCTTGAGTCTGCTCCTGTCGGCAAGGGACACTGGGCCCACTTCCGGCTCCTGCTTCTGGCAAGGCCCCTTCCCAATCCCACCCGACCGCCTCTCTCCTCCCGTGAGGACTGTCCCTCTGCTGTCCTCCATCCTGCCTCCTCCTCTCCCTTTAAGTGTTTATCGCGCACCTATTGTGTGCTGCACACCTTTCCCTGTACTCCCAGGCCCAGGGGAAGGGTCAGAGACACAGACCCACCTTATAGCAAGGAGGTCGCATCATAGGATCCCCATCTCAGGATGAAGGGAGGATGCAGGTGAGAAGAATGGTCAGAGTTGGATCAATGAATACCCACTGTGTGTGTGCTCGCACACTTGCGCGCACCATTAATGGGTATTAAATGACATTAAGGCCCTCCCAGGATTTGAATCCTGCTTCGCACCTGGTCATTCCCACCTTGTCTGATCTTGGCCAGCAGTCATCTCCCAGGGCCTTAATTTTTCCATTTTTTATTGTGAGAGAGAAAGGGAGGAGGAGATTGTGATGACTCTCAAGTTATCAAACTCCCAGAAGTTGGTGGGCCTATGGCTGCCATGAGGGCCGACCTAGACTGGTCCCTTTTTCTTGAGAAAATGCAAAACAAACAAACAAACTTTGAATTCTGCAGTTTTATTTATTGTTGGGGAGACAGCAAGATGGGGTGTCACAAGTGCAGAGAGGGTGGTGCCTGGGGCTCCTCAGAGGGAGGACAGTTGGCCCTTGGTGTCTGACATCGCTGTAAAATCAAGGATTCTCCAAGCCAGGGTGGTGGGGTGCCCCGCCCCCAGTGACCCCATAGAAGATGGGTGACCTAGGTCAGGCAGTGAGTTCCCTGTCCCAGGATGTAATCAACAATGCCCCCCCCCCACACACACACACACATGGGGCTTTATGGTACGGTATGGCTTCAGGAGGTCACCAAACCAGAACCTCTGGGCCTCCGACTCCCCCGAGGCCATGCCCTAGGAGGGCTCAGTGGGGACAGAGGGTCAGCAGGTCCTGCCAGGTGCAGCCGCTAAGGCAGCAGTGGCGGGCAGGGTTGGTGGCAGTTGCCCGGCGGCGGTGGTGGTGGTGGTGGTGGTGATGGTGGTGGTGATGGTGAGAGGCCTGGGGCAGGGGCTGGGGGTCCAGTACCAGCATCTGGTCCTCGACCACCAGGCCATGGAGGAGATGCCGTCCTTCCAGCCATTGCAGCAGCTCACCTGGGGACAGGGTAGAGTTCAGCATAGATAGGGGGCCCCAGAAGACACCCATTCTGAGTGCACACCCCTGCTTGCTCACATCCTGCTAAGTGCCCCACCAAACACATCATGCACGCAAATAGTGAGCACCTATTAAATAACTACTGTATACTGGGCACAGATTTAACCAACCATCCAGGCGTGTGCATGCTTGATCCACACTCAAGCCCCTTGCAGTACACACACGCATGTGACACACTCATGTGCATGGGTGTGCTGACAGTGGGTACACATGGACACGAGCACACCCCTGGATGAGCACACACACAAGTAACATGCCCTCAAACCCCTCCCCACTTGCCCCCACCTGCCATGTGCACCTCTACACACCTTTCTGCACTCATGTCACACACATCACCCACACAGCACACACTTGTGTGACATACGTGCACACAAACCTGTGTTATGCCCTCTGCACCAGGCCTAGGGGAGGAGAGTGAGCACTGGTCATGCCAAAACAATGAAAATCATTTTAATGCAGTATTTTTTTTTAAATCAAAATTAATACGAAAATGCATGGCCCTAACCGGTTTGGCTCGATGGATAGAGCATTGGTCTGCGGACTCAAGGGTCCCAGGTTTGATTCCGGTCAAGGGCACATGCCCAGTTGGGGTGTGTGCAGGAGGCAGCTGATTGATGTTTCTCTCTCTCATCGATGTTTCTAACTCTCTGTCCCTTTCCCTTCCTCTCTGTAAAAAAATAAATTTTATATATATATATATATATATATATATATATATATATATATATATATATATATATATATATATATATATAATGAATGAAGATCGCCCTGGCAGGCTTGGCTCAGTGGATAGAGCGTCAGCCTTCGGGCTGAGTGGACCCGGGTTCAATTCCAGCCCAGGGTACATGCCTGGGTTGTGGGCTCAATCCCCAAGGAGGGGTGTGCAGGAGGCAGCCGGTCCATGATTCTCTCTCATCATTGATGTTTCTATCTCTCTCTCCTTCTCCCTTCCTCTCTGAAATCAATAAAGAAATATATTTTTAAAAAAGATCAAATTACTGAAATGGTAGAGGATCTGGCTGCACTTGCAAGACTCTTCCGCTAAGCCTCGCGCCGGTCCCGCCCAGCGGGGGAGCATCCTCCGCGGATTTGCGCTCCTGGTAGCCGGCAGGTGGATCCCGGTCCGCTGCGCACACACCCGCCCGCGCCCCGAGGCCCACAGGCGCCCCGTGCGGCTTAGAAACCCGGGAGCACAGCCCTGCCCGCCCCACTCACGGTCTCCGCCAGCCCCTGGCCGCCCGGTCTGCGGGGACCAGCGCGGGCCCCCGCACACGCGCACCAGCGCGCGGACGAAGTGGTGGCCGCACAGCTTCTCGGGCCCAGGCCCCTCCGGGGTGGGCGCACCCGGCGCCGCCACCAGGGCCCAGCTCAGCAGCACCAGCGTCCAGGGCAGCTGGCGGGGGGCCATGGCGGCGGGAAGCGCCCGAGCCCGGCAGGCACCCCCCTTATAGGCTCCCGGCCGCCCCAGCTGGGGGCCTTGGAGGAAGGAGGCGGCGTGCGAGAGGGCCCAGGGAGAGGGTCAGGGTCGGGGTCAGGGTGAATGCAGCGGGAGCCCTGACGCCGTGTTCTTTGCTGTCATGCTAGTGCCTGACTTCATGGAGCTTTGATTGTGGAGGTGACCGCCCCCCATGTGGCCATCTCCAGAAACACCCGCTTGCCAAGCAGCCAGATGGAGCGCCAGGCGCCCTTCCCCACCCAGGCTTCTGTTTGGTTCTGATCACTGACCGTTGGGGCCACTTGCCCATTCTCTTTGACACTTTAAATGACCACTCTCATGTTTTAGTCACCTATAAAGGCCCTAACCGGTTTGGCTCAGTGGATAGAGCGTCGGACTGCAGGGTCCCAGGTTCGATTCCGGTAAGGACATGTACCTTGGTTGCAGGCACATCCCCGGTAGGAGGTGTGCAGGAGGCAGCTGATCGATGTTTCTCTCTCATCGATGTTTCTAACTCTCCATCTCTCTCCTCTCCTCTCCGTAAAAAATCAATAAAGAATATATTTTTTTAAGTCACCAATAAAGGATGAGAGTGCAAAGCCCCCCAATCCTTGATGCCAATAAAAGCAGAACCCCAACCTGGTCAGGCTCTCTCTCTACCTGCCACTTGGCTGTGTGGCCCCACGTGTGTGGTGCCATTTCCAGGTTCTAAATAAATAATAAACCTTGATTTTTTCAGAGTTCCCGGATGGTTACTGATGGCGTCTTGTACTCGCAATAAGCTCAGGGGCTGGTCCAGCCACAGCGCTGGTTATTGACAGGCTGTGAGGGACATAAAATGGCAAGGGTGTCCCCATCTCCAGTGGCCTGCTGGCTGAGGAGTCTTTATGACTATCTTTAACTGTTTGAAAGAAGTGAAAGAGATAAACTGAGAAATAACTTCATGGGGTGAGGGTGGCGTTCAGCCAGCTGAGACCAGGGCTGTCTACAGTCTTGCTATTAGGGTACACATATGGAAACTGGCTCAGAGAGCGGACCCCTCACTTGCCCAAGGTCACAGGAGGCGGGCCCTGGAATGCGGGTGCTGGCTGGCTCTTCCTCTCTCACATTAGGGTCCCCTGGGCAGAGACGGAAGGACCCAGAACTAATGTGGCTGCATTTGCTCAGCACCTATGGGGTGGCACCTGGTGCCCAGGAGGCCTTGGGACCCCGTTTCACCAAGCACGGAAGCTAAGGTAGAGAGCTCAGAGCAGCCTGCAGCCCGACTCACCCCGCACTTCCCACCAAAGCAGGTGGCTTTTCCTGGCTGAGAGGGCTCTGTTTGTCTCTCCCATGCTCTCTCTCTCTCTCTCTCATTCTCCATGCCTTCCCAGCAGCCCTGAGGAGCACACAGGGACTAGCCCTCCTGATGACGAACCCCGCCCCACAGCCTATCTCTTCCACCCGGGCCTTCCCCTCTGACCCACGCAGAACAGCCTGTTCCCTCCACCCCTGTAATCAGCTCCCCAGGACAGAGCCGAGGCCAGCAGCTGGGGCTGGGGGAGGGCTTCTGTCCTCCAGGGCCCCAGCCAATGCCCTACCCTGCTGTCCTCCTCCCGCAGCCTCTCCCAAGGCCCCCACTGTGCCCTTCAGGGGTCTCTACCCCCCCCCAGCCCTAACCACATCTCTCCCCTGATAGTACCCTCCTCAAGGTTCCCCATCACCCAAGTCCAGCAACAAACCATCCCTTCCACTGAACTCCTTTATTCATTCAACAAACAGCCCAGAGTCCCCTCTGTGCCCACCCTGCCCAGCCCCCATGGAGCCTCCAGAGCAGAAGAGACAGCTGGCGGGTCGGCACCCCAGCCCTATGGTCAGCAGGAAGCACAGGCCTTGCGGGTGTAGTGGGAGCACACGAAGGAAGGCTGCGGGGAGGTGACTGACAGCTGGGGTTTGAGAGGTGAATGCAGGTTTTCCAGGGAGGCTAAGTGGCAGCAAAGCCTTGCAGGCAGCTGAGAAGGTTTGGTGGGGCTTAACCTGCACAAGCCACCACAAGTGGGCTTTGCACAGCCGAGGAGCCAGCATTTGGAACTGGGGCCCAGAGAGGGGAAGCAACCTGCCCATTGTCACACAGCAAATAAGTGGCTCCAACGAACTCTGTCCTCTGAGCTTCCTCACTGTCGCCATGATGTTCCCTCTGCCAAGAATGCCTTTCCTTCCCTCAGCTGCTGAAAAGCTCCTGTCAGAGTCATCAGTGTGTAATCCTCTGATCAAGAGAGAAAGGCCCCAGTGTACAGGCGGGGAAACAAGCCCTGGGGTACAGTTAGGGTGGACGGGGACCCCAGCATCTCCTGGCCCTTCACACAGTCCCAGTCAAACTTGCTCTTCCAAAACGTAAATTTCCAACCAGAGCAGCGGCTCCTGTCCTTGGCTTCCTCCAGTGAGAGCAGGATGGGCAAACAGAAGACTGCGCTCATATACATTTAAAGCTACACAACGTCCCTACTGGAAGCTAGTCAGGGAAGACAGTCTCTGAGAGGATAGGGAAATGGGAGGAGCTTAAATGTGGCCCCGCCCCGCTGGGAGCAGGGCTTGGGCCGTCTGTCTTGAATATTTACAAGTTCCAATGGCCACGAAGCTGCCACCCTCGCTCCACAAGCCAGGGGTGCCCCCAAACTCAGTGTCATTTGACTCATGGGGGTCTCCGTGAAGCAGGTGGCAGCATCCTGCCCAAACTCGCGAGGCCCGTCCATGGCGACAAGAACCCAGAGGTGCGGGAGATATAAAAACCACAGTGAGTGAGGGTCTCCCTCCAGACACGCAGGGAAGCTGTGCATCTCATGCTTCCGCACGCTACCCGCGACTTGCACTCCACAGCGCCTCCAGCTGGGGGCCCAGGGTGCTGAAGGATGGGCGGTCTTGTGGGCTAGGAGCCCAGCACAGCTTCATGAGCTCATGAACCTGGAGGGAGGGGGTGAGGAGGAGGAGACATCAGGTCACAAGGCAGTGGTGGGAAGGACATGACTCTTGTTCTAAAATACACTTAGACTCCCTCCCTCCCTGCTCCAAAGCCTCCCATGGCTCCCTAAGGGTCTCAGAACAGAATCTCACCTTCCTCTGCCTCCTTCCCTCCATCACTCCTCCCTTCTCCCAGGCAGCCACACCGTTATTTACACGCACCAAGCTCCTTCCCACCTCGGGGCCTTACAGCTGCTGATTCCTCCATGGATGGGCTCCTCTTCTTGTACCACCTCCTCTGAGAGGTCCTCCCTGGCCATCCCTCCCTGACCACCTCCCCGTTCACCTCTTTCCCACCAGCATGGCTTTCTTTTTCTTTTTAAATATATTTTATTGATTTTTTACAGAGAGGAAGGGAGAGAGATGGAGAGCTAGAAACGTCAATGAGAGAGAAACATCGACCAGCTGCCTCCTGCACACCCCCACCAGGGATGTGCCTGCAACCGACGTACATGCCCCCGACTGGAATCGAACCTGGGACCTTTCAGTCCGCAGACCGACGCTCTACCACTGAGCCAAACCGGTTTTGGCAATATTTGTGTTGATTTTAAGATTGAGAGGAAGGGAGAGGGAGAAACATCCATTGGCTGCCTCCTGCATGCTCCCTACTAGGGATCAAGCCTGCAACCTGGGCGTGTGCCCTGAGCCCGGAATGGAAGCAGCAACCTTTCTGTGCGCAGGATCATGCCCAGCCAACGGAGCCACACGGGCCAGGGCCCCTCCAGAATGTTCCCGCTGGTTTCCGCTGGTGACTGGGAGGGCCCTGCTGAGTCCCCAGCTTTAGAACACAGTCGTGGCTCCACATCTGTGGCCCAAACGAATGACCAAGTGCCTGGCAGAAACTTGCACAAAAGTTGTGATGATCGCCCTGGCTGGTATGCTCAGTAGTTAGAGCGTTGTGCCATGCACCAAAGAGTCGTGGGTTCAATTCCTGGTCAAGGGAGTGCACCGAGGTAACCAATTGATGTGTCTCTTTCACATTGATGTTTCTCTCTCTCTCTCTCTCCCTTCCTTCCTCTCCCTCCCTCCCTTCCACTCTCTCTAAGAATCAATGGAAGCCAAAACCGGTTTGGCTCAATGGATAGAGTGTCGGTCTGCGGACTGAAAGATCCCGGGTTCGATTCCGGTGAAGGGCATGTACCTTGGTTGCAGGCACATCCCCAGTAGGGGGTGTGCAAGAGGCAGTTGATCGATGATTCTCTCTCATCGATATTTCTAACTTCTATCTCTCTCTCTTCCTCTCTGTAAAAAATCAATAAAATATATATTTTTAAAAAAGATCCATAAAAATCAACGGGAAAATTTTGCTCTGGTGAGGACTAACAAAAACCACAAAGCTGTGGTGATAAACATGAGCCCCGCAATTTGGGCTTCCCCACCCTGTGAGGCACTGCTGTCTCCCTCTTGGATGGGGGTCACTGTGGCTCTGAAAACGCTCAGCCTCACGCCCCCGCGGAGCAGGCGGCGGGGAGACGCAGGGGGGCCAGCGGGCTTGCCCAAGACCCCTCCTCCGAGCACTCACCTCAGCAGGGCAGGCTGGAGGCGCAGGCAGCCTCTGGCCCTCGGCCAGCAGGTCCAGGAGGCGGCAGAGAGCCGGGACATCTCGCTCGCATCCCATCATCCGCAGGAACTCCTGGGCCAGAGGAACGGGGTGATGGGGGGTGAGCCCTCCTGCAGGGAGGGGGGCTCGCCCTGGCGGGGGTAGGGGAGGGTCCTCTGTGACGGGAGGGCTGCCTGAGGGGAGGCGGCCAGCCTAGAGAGCGGGCGGGAGAAGGAGGGTGCCAGGGGCTCAGGGCGCGCACTCACCGCGGAAGGGCTGCGGCTCTTGTCGCTGTAGGTGAACAGCTCGTACAGAACCACCCCGAAGCTCCAGACGTCTGACTGGCGCGAGAAGATGTTGTCGGAGAGGGACTCCGGGGCGTACCTGGAGGGGCCAGGGGGCCTTAGGGTGCGAGTGGGGGCCGAGGACAGGAAAGGAGCAGCACTGGGCTGTCCAGGGCAGGTGGGCTGCACTATAGGAAGGTCAGACTCCAGCTCCAGGCTCAGGTCCCCTGACTGTGGGATGGAGCTCAATCTGTGGCCACAGGCCGGGACCTGGGGGCGGGGAGGGGGTGTTGGGGGGAGGTGGGTACTGTCAACTCTGTGTTGTGGGGACGGGAGGGGCCAGTGCTGAGGGGGCGGGGCCAGTGCTGAGGGGGAGGGGCCGGGCTGAAGGGCCGGAGCCGGGGCTGTGGGTGGGGCAGGCCTAGGGTGGGCCCAGGACAGTAAGGAAAAGGGGAGAAGGGGCCAGATCAGAGCAGGGGAAGCAAAGGAGGGGCCCGGATAGAGGAGAGGAGAAGCAGGGGACTAGGGCGGGC